TGGGCTGTGTGAGTGGCTCGGGCTATCCGGTCGCTCTCAAAACATCGACATGAGATCTCTTGAAGGCTCTGAATGTAGCAACAACATGCCGAAACAGAATGATTTCTGGTGCTGTGGGAGACGAATTTTGGGGCCAGGTAGACTTCTGTTTTGTTATTGGTGGTCGCCCAGTGTCGCCAAAACGGGCACGAAGCTTTCTTCTTTCGGCCTTCTCAGGCATCAGCGACTTGACTTTCTCATAGATTCCCTCGAAGGTGGACACATCGTTGAAGGCCTCAGTGCACGAAGGAGGCCCGTGGCCTGCCGGCCAATTGGACTGGAGAGCGATGTGAGCGATACATGACCTGCAAAGGCGAAGTCTTCACTGAGATGAACTCAGTCATGCTAGTGTGCTGGGGGTCGGGCAATTGTTGTCTTGTTGTCTTGTTGTTACTTCTGCTGCTGTCCTCCACCAGTCACCCTCCAGGACCGCTAGCACGAACTAAATGGCCGTAACCGTATTGCCGCAGTGCATTCGCCTTACCCCCAAACTAGTTGCTAAGACTGCCTTAGAAGAGCTTCATGCGATTCAAACCTAGGCCCCAGCACTCTTAGGGCAGAAACGTCTGCCGGGTAAAGGCACCATGTGCTTAGGCGTTCTTGCTCCCTGTAGGCGGTCTTGTGACCTCTAGGTGTTTGTGTCCGTTTGGTGGCAATGCTCAAACAAACAAACGAGGATCCACCCACCACTATCCACCCACCACTGGCTTCAGGAACACCCTTGACGTTTCTCTTGTATTTGCAAATTATCAGTGTGTCCACTGTTCTGTTTCATTGTTTTAAAACTTTTGTTGGTGTTCTTTCCGTGACTCAACTTGTCTTACCCGTCCCACCCCTCACTACTACAATCAGTAGCTTGGGTGGATAAAGGAGTGGTAGCCTGTTTTGGGGAGAGTGAGTAACATGAGTTTCAAATACTTTAGCTGGGACTAGAATCAGGTGGCAAGTGATTGTTTTCTCAAAAGCTTTGTCATTCGAATTATGGTTCTGCCTCCATGTAAGAATGCAATGTGATTGTGCTTCGGTGTTTTTGAGCTTAGGCGTTCTTTGTGAGAAATGAAGTTTTCTAACGAGGTTCTAGGTATACGTGCTATCATCGCTAGATGTCCATCCTCCACAACGACCCATTTTCTCACCCCCCAGATTCCGCGGCGATGCCGCCTCCCTGAAACAATCATGGAAGTGGAATATAAATAAATGATATATACAGCCTGTTCGTAGAGCAAACCAGTCTTCCAAGGCCCTGAAACCCACGGAACCATCAACCATCCTTTGGAACGCTTTGGGGTCGCTCTCAGCCGGAGGCGTTTACCGAAGGGTCTCGGTCACCGAGACACTACGATCACATCGTAGGGGCGAAGGCTCTGGCTTGGCACGGCCGTGTTGAAGGCCTCCACCGCGCCCTTCTCGGTGATGCTGCGGATCATGACGCCGTTGCCTCGACCGGAAGGATCCCATGCTGGAGGGTGCAACTGAGAAAGTGAGAAACTCAAGGCGGTCCGCTTCAAACACGATGAACCGTCATCAACCAGGGTCCGGTGGTCAAAAACCTCGGAACATGTGACGAGTCCCAGCCGAGTCACGACAGGAAGCCGGGTCTTAGGGGGGGACCTGTCTGAGCTCGCTTGGCCTGTCGGCCTGTCGGGGTCGGGGTCGGTCATGTCTCCATCTGCCTGTGTCCGAACAGGCATCGATTGATCCCGTGGAAGCGTAAACATCCCTAAAGGGCTCATGGGTGTTCCAATTCCCCTTGGATGCTAATGATGCTGCTACAGTTCGATTGAGATTCATTTGGATTGATCCTTCCTGGGCGCTCCAGGTCGGATGTGGGCATAAAACTTAAGATTGCATACATTTCAGGCGTGGAGTGTACATGACTGTACAGTATGGGCTTGAGCTTTTTCTCCTCACGTCTCTGCTTCGGGGCTGACAGCGCCCCACACCGCTCTGGTTCGTGCCTTGCGCCACATGATCCACGTCCAAGCCCAAATAGGATAACTCCTGGCGTCCAAAGGCGGCCGAGACGCTCTCCTGGAGTCCATGTGGACTTATATCCCAAACACGACCCATGGGACTGCCATATATGCCGATCAGTTGGGGTGGTTTTGGGGGTCAACTGATCGGCATATATGGCATATATGAGTGAGCGTCTGGGTATGAATTAGCAGCACCACAACGGATCGCGATGGACCAAAGGAATGCTGTGACATGCTGACATTCTCGTTCAGAAAGTTTGGACACCAATCTCATGAGTGAGCAGCTACAGTGACAATGGCCCTCTTGGCCTGAGGTGTTGGCCGAACCTCTCCATTGTCAGCTTGGATGCCCCAAAACCACAGCATGCTACGTGTTGGGTCACCATGCTGTGTTGCTGAGCAAAATGGCTGGCCCCATGCAACACAACTCATCTCCATCGCTTAAGCTTCCATTGTTGGTTGTGGTCCATGCCATGACTACGTTCTGCACGCGTTCTTACGGAAACGTCAGAATGTGGTCTTGAAACACCTAGATTGCATCATATTAATATATATAGTGTGTAACATATCCGCCGACCCCGGTTGAAGCAAGCAAGGGAGTACGGGTCATAAAAATATATCATGATATAAGTGAATATTATATAGATGCTCATTGTTCTGAAGCCGCATCAACGCTAGCTTGGCCAATGCGGAGGCTTCGGTAAGCACCTCATCATCACCGAGGTCAGAACCCCGGCGCACACAATCCGAAACCTCCGACACCTCCGAAGAAAAGCCTTCTGAGGGCGAATTCGGTATGACAAGAGCTCCAAATGTCCAAATGATGAACAGCTATCAGTACTGTATATATATATATATATATTTATATTTATTCGGCTGCATCAGTTACACTTGACTTGATGTACAATGAGTCGGACTCGAATCATTTCTTTTTCGCACGAGCTTCAAAGGTCTGGTTCAAAAGTGCTTTGGTTAGTGTGACCCTGTCACAGCAGCCCACGCTGCGCGCACCCCTGGTGCATACCTCTGCCAGGTATTCGTTCCCTTACCCGTACCTGGTAGACTCCTTAAAATAGTCAAGAGGATACTGAATATCAGTCCTATGACTATGTTGGAGTAGGGCTCAAAAAGTAAACGGTGCAGTAACCTAAGAGTTGACACTCTTACACTGCAAATACAGTGACTTCCAATTGCTCCGCAATGTCACTGGAAAAATGGTATCTGGACTCATGACCGAAGTATTTTGCCTGGCCGACTGCTGCAAATGTTGTGGCTATGTTGCAGACTGCAGCCACAAAAAGACTCAAATCAGTGACGAAAATACATCATGGACACCATGGTAACCCGCAGACAGCACCAGTCCATGAGCTCATTGCCAGAGCATTGGGCCAGGCCGACAGCTGCAATTCATCTGGCTTACGGCAGACTGCGCCAGGGTGACCAGCAGTCACATCAAATGACAGACAGGCAGCGCAACCGTGGCACTCAGCTGGCAGCGACCACGCGGTGCCCCGAGACTTCAAAATGAAAACTGAATATATGCTCAAAATGGATCATCGGTATCAACTGGAGACCATAGCATCGAATCAAATCAAATTGTAGACTCCTGCAGACTGCTGCTACAAGTAGGCCATTCCGTGGAGGACACCGCACAGGCCAGAGAAATCACATGGACGCACCGCAACCATGGGAACACAGGCCGACAGCTGCCACAAGCACCTGTAACCGCTCGTACCGAGCACAGGGTGTGGTGGGTGGGACAAAAAGAATCCTGCGAATCAGCGACCCTGATTCACACGGAGCGACACTCCTTTTGGCTTGAGCCTCAAGCTGAAAGGAGTGAGTGAACTGAATGACATCAAATAATTCCTCATCACCGACCCTGCCTACCTTGAGTGAATGAATATATTCGGCTGCATCAGTTACACTTGACTTGATGTACAATGAGTCCTTTTTCGCACGAGCTTCAAAGGTCTGGTTCAAAAGTGCTTTGGTTAGTGTGACCCTGTCACAGCAGCCCACGCTGCGCGCACCCCTGGTGCATACCTCTGCCAGGTATTCGTTCCCAATGCATTCTACATTCCCAAAGCACCCAGAAGAACTGGAACACGCGATTGATAATGACATATGGTAGGCGGAGTAGGAGGTGGGGTACTGGAACACGGTGTACCCGAAATCCATGAGCCTGATACCATTTATCATGAATCCCTTGCCTGCTAATACCATCGGACCAGTTGTCCTTGGACTGGACCCATTCGAAATAGCACCCACTGCGCAGTGAATAGAGGAGGGCATGGATACATCCTGCCATAGTATCCAACTCCGGGTTATCACTCCTGCCCTTGACTAGGGCCATCAGCGCCGCAATGTTGTCCACAAACCAAAGCCCCTGACAGGAGCGGGCCTGACTGGCAACGAAGATGAAGCCAACATAAACTGTGAGAAGCTCCAGCTGGGCGATTTTGGTAGGGTGCTCGGACCAGAGGTTGAAGAGCTCCGCCGTAATGTCGACGACATAGGCATCTCGTTCACCTGGCGGTCCCACAAATAACAGGCCCGCTGAACCTTGCCGAGGTTCGTCTTGGGCCGCATCGGAGGCCGCGAGGTAGCGTTGCCGGCTACCGGGCTGAGGGGGTAGTTCTCGCTCAGGACGTAAGGCTAAGAGGGATTTGATGGTCACAAAGGAACGTGAGAGGTCCTCAGTGAGGGCGGTGTCACGCGAGTACTGCCGTTCCTTCAGGGGGCTCAATCCTGATCGCCCTAACTTTCCAAAACATCCCGTGTTGAGGAAGCCCAGGCAACCGAACAGCTTGGCAGCAAGACCTGGCGGGAGTCGGTTTGTTTGGATGGCTTCGTCCATGAGGTCTGTGACCTTAGTGATCAAACGATCTCTGGGCCAAAATCTGACCGGCTGTCCCCGGTGACAATTGGTAACATCGTGTACCAACCCCAGAAAGTCAGACTGACTCTGCATGACCTGATGCTTCTCCGGTTGAAATGGTGAGCCAAGTTCGGTGGCCAACGACGTGATGAACTGTTGGGCTGAACCCCTCAAGCTGCCCAGATCCTGGACGGTCAGGTCGTCGAAGTACATACTGGCCAAACAATATCCCATGCGCCGACAAAGGGCCTGAAAGAACCGAGGGAACCGATTGAACGAGCAAACAGCACTGGGCAGACCAAACAATGAACCATAGTACCGGCGAAAGCGAGGTGCTCCAACATGATGGTCATAGTAGGCCACAACAGCAAGGTCGGAGTGCTCGGGGGCCATAGGAACATGCCTGTATGCGTTAGGCGAACTGTCTCTCTCGCAAAAAGGTGCCGAACCAGAGCTGCCATCCCCGGTTCGCTCTCACGGCGAGCGGGATCCCACCCATCTGCCACTGCGCGACCAGCCTCACGAAGTGCTTCCTCGTAGGAGGTAAACCAAAAAGCCAAGTCGCTGGAACTCTGAATCCCCATCCTGGCACACCAGGTATTCAGCTTCTCCTGCTCAACCGCGCGTCGAGCATTTGCATCAGCCATGGCTCAGACACAAAAAGAATCCTGCGAATCAGCGACCCTGATTCACACGGAGCGACACTCCTTTTGGCTTGAGCCTCAAGCTGAAAGGAGTGAGTGAACTGAATGACATCAAATAATTCCTCATCACCGACCCTGCCTACCTTGAATGAATGAATAATATACATTATGCATACATGTTTGCATTAAAAAGGTGCACATGCATTGCACATGTTCAGTACATCTTTGTTCCCCCATGATGCGCGCGAACTACAACGGCCAAAGAGTTGAGTCACCAAAGCGTGCGTTGCCGGCGGCTTGACGCCAAGACTTTCCATGTTTTTTTCGCCTCCAGATTCTCCTCACATCTGCTGGCATGAGCCCAAAACAACTGATTCATAATTCGAAACAGCTAGACATAGCATGACATAGCTAGGCAACTGGACCGACTTTCCGAAGACGTGGTGGCCCTCCCTCCCTCCCTCCTCTCCGCCCACACGCAGCCGCGCAGCGCACGGCTCTCCTTGCTGGGCACTTCCACTGAGAAACTGCCCACCTCTGGTGCCTTCATCTCTGCTGCTGGAGGCACGGAGTCCGAGGGTAGGGGCGGGGCGGCGACACCTAGGGATGCGACCGGGACCTGGAGTCTGGAGAGGGTTTTCAGGCACCTAGGATGATTCGCCCGGAAGAATGTTTGGAACACCTCCAAGGCCATGTGTTTCGATGCAAACTGGGCCAATTTGGTTCAAGCAAATGGGGGCAACTGGGCTTAAAAACATCGCTCCATCAAGTGGTAGTGGTTTCCACTTCTTCTCTAGTCGTTCCACAGGCAGAGTCACCTGTCCTCTCCGGTAGCGAAAAAGAAACTTTGGCCTTCCACGCTCACTTGCGAACTGTCCAATGGTCCGCCCCTCAAAGCCCTTCCACATAAGCGGGGTGCTAGAGGGAAAACAGGTATGAACACATGCCATATGAATTGTGACGACACATCCACTGTACAGAAACGTGTCACATCACCTAAGTATGTGCTATGAATTATGAATTAGCCACGAACGCTCAGTCGACGTGTGCAATGTCTGCGATGGAGTGTTTGTTACGCAAGCATTTCTTTATGCGCTGGTATCAGCCGTTACGTTTTTGGAATGGGATTTCATCACATTCTGGAACAAATGGCTCCGGATGGGAAATTTTAGGCAATTCCAAGCGCACATGATGCGGATACGACTCGTTTGGTAATGATGAATAATTTTTGATATGGTCAATGACAGCAACAGGGTCCGGGAGAATAGAGCGAGAAGAGATGCCACCCACAAGACTTTTATGGAATCCCAAGCGTACAAGTGAGGAGGCTCCTGTTTTCTTATACTTAGGGAACAACGACTGTTGCAGGGTATTTTCCAGGTAGCGGACCACTGCTCGGAGAGTGTTTGCTTGGTGCCAGAGACTACGGCACTCGGGTTTTTGTATGGAAGATTCTTTTGACAGGAAAGGATAAGGCTTGGGAAGTTTCCCGTCTTTGTGGTATATCCATACTGGCAACGCAAATCCCATATCTAACTGAAAGGCAATGACCAATTCATACCATGATATACCCCAGTCATTCGGCAACCGATTCTGCGCTAAGTTTGCGAAAAAAAAAATCCAAACTCGGAAGGCTGTGTGGGCACCCGCAGGGCATGCTTGTGCGATGAGCGTCTCAAGTGGGCCCTCAAATTGCCAGAAGTCTGTATGAAAGGTCCATTGCATCAGAACATCTTGATATTTTACCACTTCATCCAAAGTATTATGCGCATGGGTCTCAGCGGCATTCTTTTCTTTTTCCAGCTTTAATTTCTTATGTAGACTATTGAGATCAGCAAGATATGCATAAACCAAGTGCAACGCTTGTGTCTGTTGTTGACTATGATTACGGATATCCTGACAAGCCTCCCGAAGGAGGGGCATTTCTTGGGCATTACAGTAATGATTTTGGCAGCTTCATCCGCAGCGAAATTGCCCAGAATAGTATTCAAATCTGCTAAATCCTTTGCGTCTTCCAGTTTGCGGCCTTCCAGTTGTCCCCGCTCTCCACCATTGGCATCACTGGGCCCCGGCGCTTCGAAGGACCGAGTCCCTAGGAAGAGGTATTGGAAACTTGAACTTGGTAGAGGAAACTTGTACAACACCCGCGGCTTTAAACAATCCTATATTGCCTGTACTTTGGCTTGGAACAAACACATGTGCCGGAGGCCTGGCAACTCAAGTTTTCACCGTTTCAGCAACTCGAAATGAAGTGGTCATACTGCATGATACTGTATGAGCGCTCCTGTCTACATCAAACATACAAACACATTAAGAATATTTTGTAGTTCGTGAATTCACCATTGTGATTGGCTCACTCTTAGGATCATGAGTGGCTTGACCACTTGAAGCTTGTCTGGTTTCTCATAGTTTCTCTGATCTAGTCTCATTTCATTGTCTAAAAGTTCTTTGCCTAAATTTCTCAGTCAAAATAACATCTACACCCTCGACATCCCGGCTGAAACACCGGTCAATAAGAAGATGCAAAAAAAACGACATGTGCGCAGACCATCCAGGTTTTCTGCACCTTTCTTTGCTCATCCATGACACGCACCAACAAGGTCACGGCGGTCGGTCGCGTGCCGAGCAGCTAATCTCGGTGGCGCCCGCGGGGTCGGCGTCGGAGCAGCAGTGGAACATGGCGCGGCTGCGTGGCGGGATCGGCGCGTCCGAGTGCGTGAAGCGGCGAGTGTGTGGGCTGGCGTGAGCTGAAAGGGGTGCGAGAGTCGAGCCGAAAGTGGCAGTGGCGGTGTCGAAACGCAAAAGGGCGCACGTTTGCTTTCAAATGTTATTTTATTGGAACTGGTGATGAACAATGGCAAAAAACTGTTTTGGACTTGAGACGAACATTACTGCCAACATCACCTGAATCATCCAGGGGTCACAAAGGGGTGGTTTCTAGTCTCTAAAGTGAGTGGATCATGGGCACCCCTATCCACGTTCGGCACCCCGACAGGGAACTGGATGTACAGACTGGATGTGGCCAAGGCGCAAAAACTTGTCGCCACGATTGACTTGAGCTCCCTCCAGGAGTGATGCGTCCTGCACATCCGACGCAAACGCCGAAACGACCGTGGCGTTCCACGACGACCGGATCCCCCGAGCGGGTTCCATCCTGGCATGGGACCCAGTCCAGCCTGTTGGGTTTGAGTGGGTTATGCACCACTGAACTCCAAAGGCTCCAGAGGCTACTGAACTCCAAAGGCTACTGAACATGGGAATCCCCCAAAAGGTTACACATCACTACTGAACGTCCAAAGGCTCCAAAATTCGCCATGCCGTGAACGTTAAAACTGGCATCCCCATTCGCTTCACCGTGTAGCCACTGGCATCCCCATTCAGTGGCATCTAGCTGCATCATCCCCCACAAAAAAAGAAACACGGAAAAAACCGGTCTTCTCCAAGGCGACACCAGCAACATCGCACGGTGGGCTCGCGCGCGTCCTGCTGGAGCTTGCCTTCAAAATCCACCACATCCTCCTGGAACGACGGACCGTGAAGGCGTTCAGAGGTCAAGGGTCGCGCTTTCAGAGTTTCAAATGAAAATGAAAACACACAAAAAAACACACATCATGATACAAATTGAGGATAAATTGAGGTCATGTTAGTTTAACTTTTTTCATGTCAAGAACACAGATGTGGACGACCGATGTGGTCTCCAACGACCTCACCCCGCCCTTGCCGTCGATGGTGTGCTGGGTAGGTACGTGGACCTTGGCACTACCATCTTGTAGTCGCATCGGCTAGCATCTACACGGCTTACTACTACAGTACTATGGGAACACTTGGTCCAAACTCTTGCGCAAACTCGTGCGCATTCGTGAAACTATTCCAAACCACCATCCGCAGCAAATGGGCATGGAGTCGGGCTCCTCGCTGGCCACCAGGAATCGAGCAGCACCCACTGCCACATGGGGCGTGGACTTGCCTGGATGGGGGTGACCATGTGGTGACCATGTGGTGACTATGTGCCAAACACTCATGGAGCGGTGGGTGGTTTCAGGGTCAATGGGGCGGCATATGTTCCACATATGGAGCGTCGTTTATGTTTGGAAATAGTACATAGAGGGGTCGGTTTAACACCCAAACGTTCACGACTGGGAGTATCCCCATGTTCTCCCCTCTATTGATCAATCAACCACCATTTCAGCACCCATGATGATCATGATGCATGTGACCACGACCCGGTGGAAGTCTCTGGTGTCTCTGCCAACCACGACCCACATGAAAGGCCCTCGTCGCGAATGGAGGCGAGGAGGGAGATCGAGGACGGGGGCTCCAATAAGAACAGTTGTGGAGAATCAAAACAGTCCGGTGCCAATGTCCGCAACAATATCCCTGCATTATCCAACGCCACTCTCCTGACTGCACAGTTGCTGCAACTGGGGCTCCCCAGCGGCTGGGACACGCGGGCAAAGCAAAGCGGTAGGAGTGAGCTAGATACCTGCGGTGGCCATCACCGACAGTCGCGCGCAATTCGATGTTCTTCAACGGCAGCAACTTCCGAGAGAATCTTTGGACAAGTTTGCTTCACTTACTCTGAACTCTGAGGTGGGAATCGGTCGAACCTGGTTCACGCGGTGAACCAACATGCGTCTTGTGATGCGCGGGCATGGAACCAACGTCCTTGTGCGGTGTTTCGAGACATGTCTTTGGTGGCAAACTTTAAAACAATAGCAAAGAGGGTGCTTTGATGTGCTTTGCCATGCTTTGCCCACCTTAGGCGTTCACAAGACTGTATATCCAAGTGATGGATTTGGCAAACCTCATTTCTGAACCTGTTGGGCACACATGGGCACACCTTCTCCGTGTGGTAATGATGCGGAACCTCTCCTTTCACAAGGCGTTGGTGCCGTATGCCCTGCAACCACCCTTCGAACCCACTGGAACCAGTCTGATGGACCGACTCGGGTCCCATGTACCTGGACTTCCAGGTGGGGAAATCCGTGGGCAAAGGCAGCTCGATCATGGTGTACTGGGTGCAAAGCCTTGGGTCTGGCGACATGGCGAACACCATGGTGGACTTGACATGCAAGATCTTGCAAGAATGGGACCTTGATGGTTGCTTAAGCAACTGTGCTCATCACAAGGCTGTTGCTAGGCAAGCTACATGTTTGACATCGACATGAGTTGGGACACCCGCGGGCCATGTGTCAAGCTGATCCGACCTTTTTTCCCAGCCAGAGACAGCTCGATTGGCTGGTGAGCTGGTGACAGGCTGTGGCCGATCGCTGCGAAGCGATAGAGTTCAGATTGAGGTCTTCGCTTGGCAACTGATACCTTGATGTGCCTTATGGATCGTTGTGGTTTCTCCTCTGGATCAACTAAAACATGTTTTTCCTTTATTTTGATTCCTTGTGGAGTGGACATGAGTCGGCCCATACTTACATAGCCGTCACAATGAGCCCGCATGCAAACATCCAATGTTCACCCTAAGTCTAGTTTCAATCTCTATATAAAGTTGGACTTTCAGCCTATCCTCAACCTTCATCTTGGCCATCACCTCATCCCTTCGACCTCGCTACACTGGAAGCCGCATGGTGTGGAGCACAAAGAGTAGGGCCGTGAGCACGGTGACGCCACCCGCTTGATGAGCCACGCCCAATTCAGTCGGCACGTAGAGCAGCAACGTGGCAATGCCCAGGAACCTCTGCAGCGAAAGTGCGTTCTGCGGGCGAACATTCGCTCGTGCCGAGCAGCGATGTCCCAAGCTGAACTGATCCACTTGGGGCGGAACATCTCATGGAAAGCCACATGGAAACTGGGACCCTTGGGATGGTTTAGGTCCAGTCATGGAAACTTGGATCTGGCTTCCCCTTCACGCGGTCCTCCCTGATTGGGCTAGGCTAAGGATTGCTCTTGTTCATAAAGCATCATTAGACGCTTCCGGCTCAACTTCGTTCACCCCAGTCCACAGCGGGGGCCGCCCTGCAAACGCCAAGAAACACAAACGTGACCTAACCATCAGAAGACATGGCTTGGATCGCTTGGAATATGGTAAGGTGCAGGCTCGCAGTGGCAAACACGGGGCTCAAACAACTATATATAGATATATACATAAGTACAAGAAGGGTTTGGTCAAGAGCTGCACAAACAGGATGAGGGGCAGCGGCAGCAGCAGCAGCAGCAGCAGTGACAAACCAACAAAGAAACAACAAAATCCACTAAGACTGTTGCATGCTCGGAGACATTTGTGCCCCCAGCACCATGGGAAGCGCTGCAGTGGCACTGGCAGCAGCTGCAGAGAGTGGCAACTGTGTTGAATAAGCCCAGAGTCCTAAGGATGCCGCCACCGACGAGTAGGCTAACATCCTGTGGTTGAATTGAACAACAGCCGTCTCTTCAAAGATGGCCCTCCATTTGGTGAAGGGCTCAGCTATGAAGGCCAACCATTCTGGTGGGATCCAATCATCCAGCATCTTAGGCCAGGTATTGAAGGCTCGTCCTGCGTCATTCCCCGCCACAAAGGGTCCACTGAGAAGGGTGGCCGTGACCATGGCAGTGGTCGGCCAGGCCCAAAGGCGCAAGCGCGAAGCAGCCTTCACGGCCTCTGCACAGCTATGGATCTGAGAAGGGCTGGGGCGCAACAAGCTCAAGGTGTTCCACACACAACCAGCATAAATGGTGAGCGCAGCTGTCCAATGCGAGGCTAAGCGATATGGGGAGACCCGAGGCCTCTGGTTGGGGCCCAAAGTGGGCGTGTGCTGCTCCGGAGGATCAAAGCCACTTCGGACCATCCACCAACCTACAAAGGCTTGTGACAAACCCAAAGCGAAAAGTCCCGTCAGGTTGGCCGCAAAGCGCAGGCGCAACACACCGCGCCCTGCAAAGTAGATCAAGGGCCCCGCAAACAAAAAGCCAGCCGTACGGCCCCACATACGGTGGAACCATTCTACAAAGTAGATCCGTTTGAACTCTTCGAGCTCCATCTTGCCTGCATGTAACCGCTGATATTCTGGATACTTCTTGTACTCCTCGAACTCCTTGAGCCACGCCTCCTCTGTCAAGGGCAGCCGACGCCCTTCTAGGCGCCAATCCGTCATGGATAAGCCACTGCCAGAGAGCCGAGTGTAGCCTCCAATGAAGATCATGGAGAACAGCATGCCACAAGTACCTCCAAGCCATAGGCCCACAGTCTTCTCCCATCCTGGTGTGACCAACTCTCCAGTGCCTTGATGACTTTCACTTATCGTCGACTTCAGATATGCCAGTCGAAAACGAACAAGGGGGGTGCGTGCTGTGGGTACCACGCGTGCGCGTGCGGCAACAGCAGCATGGCGAGCTAGTCGTAGCATGGCCTTCAAGTTGACTTCTGCAGCTGGATCAATCAGGAATTTTCTTTTTTTCTTGTGTCAAACCTAAAGTCATGTATCCATCTAAAGTGTAAGGTCCCCAGTATGATCAACTTCATGTTGTGACCAGCTTCCTCAAAAAAACCAACTGGCCCTCTGCACCTAAGCTTGAGCCCCAAAATGAACAGTCCAAGTCCATGCATGTGGCTTTTCATTGACAGTGGCCACGCAATTCCAATGCGAATTGCCAGCTGTGCCCATGCGTCCTCCTCTGTATGCCATTACGGCATGGCAGGTGCCATTCAACCAAGTGTCTCTCACAAGCAACTCGTGGCCGTTTAGCCATGTTTAGCCGTGTCGTCAGTTTTCAGGCCCAAGCGTGATTTCACTCCACTTCTGTGGCATCGTGAAACCGTGGTACAGCAAGTAGTCAGCCTCACCGTGAAGCAAACCCTGAAGTGCCACCGGATGGCACACCCTCTGCCTCTCATCAGATTGTTTTTTGATGCTGAGCAACTCGTTTTGTACTTGCAGAATGATCGTGGAAGTGGAACATCACTCCACTGTGCATCAAAGCTGGTCTGCGGGAAGGCGCTAGCCGGGCTCCAATGGGCCGCGAAGAATGGCACAGAAAACTCAGCATCCCAACGTTGGAGCGCACACCGTAGCCCACAGTAATGGCCTCGCAGTCCGAACCAGCATGATGCACCTCCCAAAGAAAGACTCCCCAAAGTCGTGCACCTTCTAACTAGGGCTACGAAGATTCACCACTGAGATGAACACCTTAAAACCAAGCAGTTCCAAACAATCGCGGTGGAACGATAGGGAAAACCACCCATACCAGGGCCCCCTAAGGGGTGTCCAATAATAGCTCCTTAGAGGTTCATGGGTGTCTATATATATATATATATATGGAACTCCAGCTATGAAACATCTTGTGGTCTGGAGGCCCAGGTGGCCATGAAAGGTGTTGGGATCCGCCTTTGTCGCACGGTTCCGAGTCTCACACACATCACACAGGGTCTCTGGACCACAACCGCGCTGTTTGCTGATGTTGTTTCAACTTTGTGGATGACATGAAGAGGCACAAAGTTCAAAAGGAGGCCAAGAGCTAAAAATGGGAATGGCCAGATCTCAAACACAGCTGTCCCGTCTCAGACTCTCAGTGCGCAGAGTGTGACCCCGTGTCACCGGACACCGTGGTGAACCACGGTCCTCGGGGAAACCTCGTTGATCAACGGCGCAGAAAGACTCGTGTCGGGTTCTGAAATAGATTTCTACCGCTGCAAGTTCGAACCTTTTGGGAACCCCCAACAAAATCTGCCAGCATCGTCCTAAAGATGTTTTGCAAGAACCCATTGCACCAAACCGGTGGGCCCAGGCACCCTTGATCCCGCCGCTTTCTGGGTCCTCTCGACTGACTCTGCAGCCAAATCTTGCTTCGCTTTCAGGGTCACGGCGGCGGCATCGGAATCCTCGGGATGGACCGCGACGACGCGAAGAGTCGTGACACCCAGAATTCGACCCATTGGGAGGGTGATCCAGGGTTGATAGTGATGATAGTGAGTCTTTTCCTGTTGGTAGTGACACCCCATGATTCTAAAAAGAAGTTTAACATTTGCAAGAACAGCTTTGAAACACAGGTTCCCTACTTGTTCATTTTGCTTGGCCATGTCCGGAACACAAGCATTCTTCATCATTCCTCCAAGCAACGAAACAAGTACTCCAAAACACCAGGTACGAAGACACATCATAACCCAGACGTTCCATGGGACTGCCATAGGACTGCCGGTCAGGCCAGGGGTGGTGCCAGGGAGGTCGACCTCTGGGCGGCAGTCCATCCCATTGGTCGCGTCGTAAGGGCGGCAGTCCACCCCACCGACACAGTCCAGTCCGGAAAGGTGGTCTCAGTGTTCGGAAGACTTGATCGTCCAGAAGGATCCAGTCAGTCCAGCTATGTCTGCTATGAGTGATCGGAATGAATCGGATTGACCAGGAGAGGAACGAAACGACCAGGAGATCCAGGATTCGGATGAAGTGAAAACATATAAACCATCGCATGATCATCCGCGCGAGTTCGGTGTTGAAGGATGGCTTGTGATGGCTGATGATGCCATTCACCCTTGGAACCTCAATGATCCCAGAAGGACCTAAAAAGCTCTAAGACTCTAAGAAAGCACACGTGACTTGTTTAAATTGTTTTTGTGGGATTGTCGAACGACACTAGTCGATACTAGTCGGGGTCGGGTATTTCTCCAGGCTCCCGAGCATAAGAGATGTTGGTCAAGGACTCGCTCTCCTGATCGTCGCAAAAGGGCAAGTGAAGCATCACTGTGACGTAGCTCATGCCACGGCCACGGCAAATTCGGGCTGCTACGTGTCTGGATGATGCACTTAGGGCACTTTAAGAGCTTCCTTGGCAAACCATTTAACGGAGCATTTATGTTGACCATTCTACTTACTATAAGATCAGCCACATAGCTTTGAAAGTGGAACATGGAATACATGGAACCCGGGAAGGTTCTTTTCCTGCACATTCCATCCTACTCTTCCCTTCCAGGAGCACGGATGGAACCCGGATGCCCTTCCAGGAGCCGGAATCGATGTAACCATGCAACTCCATGTCTCAACTGCCTGGTACTTCAGGAGGTCATCCGTGGAGAACAGCGCTCTCCTGGAGAACATCCGGAGAGAACGACGGATGTTTGCCCTTTTTGGCCCAAGAAGATGAAGCACTGACGGATGACTCCGGGTCAACTTGCACACCTTCAATGCCCTTCTTACTAGCTTCTTGTTACAAGTAGCGATGGCCGCCAACCCACTTGCGATGGCCTCCACCTAATAAACCTCTTAAAACCCTTCAAACACGGAACACCAAGTTTTAATAAGTGTTCTATTGTTCATGCCCTTTTCTAGTCAGTCTTGCAACATCTTGCAACTACGTAGTGGCGGCAGCAGTGGTGACATCATCTGCAAATCTTCCCAAACCACTAAGTAAGAAAAAACACCAGTAAAAGGAAGCAAATGGAAGCAGAGGCGCTCCAATTGTCCAAACAAAACACGCGGCTGGGCTGCCGGGCTCGGGGATGGGGAGGTGATGGTCGACGAGGTCGATCAAGGGCATGATGGCCAATTGAGGTGATGTCTGACCTCCCGCGGGAGACCGACGCGGGGGGGCTCACGCGTTGCGACCGACGCGTTGCGAGCGGGAGTTGGGTTGGGAGTGCGAAGCTAAGCTGCGTACTGTACTCCTCTTTCCAACTAAAAGGCATCAGGTATACCCAAGCGTTTGTTACTGCTAAAGATTTTCTTCACAGGCCCGGCCGAATCCGCTGGCGTCTTAGACCTCTGCGCACAGCAACGGCCTACTCACTGCCCGGGCTTCGTTCGGGGAGGGCTGGAGCCACTGGTTGCTGTGAGCGCCGAATAGAGCCGATCCACAAGAATGAAGGTAATTCAGAACAGCCTGGGGAGTCAGGCCCTACGCTTCCAACAAGCATCGATTTCATGGGCTTTTGCCGAACTACCATGGACCATGGTTGTACTGACTTTACACGACAACAACAGGTTAACCTTTCGTTTAAACATCTTTCAAAGGTCTTGGAAGGCTGGCAGGGGTCAAGTCACTCAGTCTTTTTTTCGCACCTTTGTGAGTTCATGGCCAAAAAGTCGTGAAAAACCTTGAATGAGCAGTAGATGCCTTCCTTTCATTGGGAACACTCTGCCGTTCTCAACCTCACCAGTTCATGAGACACTCTGTGTCTTCACCTGCCGCGACCTGCGCACCCAGCACCCCTCCACCTACCCACACCCCCGCCACACAAACGCTGGGCTCTCCCGGCTGCGGTTCTCTCGGTCCGGCAGGTGCACCGTCTCACCGCGGGACATCACGACCATGGCCCACTTCTTGAACCTGGGGTGGTGGGTCCCGGGGTGGTGGACCTGGCGTTGTCAACGGGGCGAATATTGGGAGAATGAATGGGATCAGAATGCACCTAGATCCTAATGGTTTTGTAGTGGTTTTCCATGGTTTTCCCTCACAACATCTCACAACCATGTGAAAGATGGACATCATGATAGGGGGTATTTTTAAGCCAAAAAGAACTTCTTCCAGGACGCACCAGGGATGATTTGATGATTCCAAGTGTCTCACAGACTCTTGCCAATCTGGGATTTGCCTAAGATCGCTTCAGCCCCACTGGAACAAACATCAACTTACCAAGGATTGAAACATATTGAAACATTGGGCCACTCAGATTGCTCAAATGCACACCTACCCCAAATCAAAACCCAAGAATGGCAGCCTCTGCACATCTTTCAAGGATTTTCCAGGGAGGAGTTTCCAGTTGAGTGCCCTCGTCTGCGAAAACCCTAAGCAGCACCATGTAGCACCTATGTCTGCTCGCAACGTTCGAATTCCGTCAGAGTGGTCACACTCCCGGCACATTCGCCCGTCCATGTACCCTGCGCACACGGTTTTTCCTTTGTGAATCAGCTGTTCACCATGTGCGATATCTTTCAGAATCCACGGCAGCTCCTTACTGGTTGAAGACAGGAACTCACGCCTGTCAACAGTCAGAAGACTCACCGCTCCAAGAGTTCTGTGCTTGGCAAATTGAACCCTTGGAAAGCGAGAGTTCTAGTTGGCCGGGCTTTGTGAGGGGTTCAAATTAAAAGAAAAGCCTTTCTTGCTCTTTCTGCACCAGGTTCTTGCTCTACAACTTTGTCCGGGATAGACCCATTCAGCTGCCGCTTCACTTCTGCCAAAGTTTGAGCAAAGGTCCTCCTTAGACGAAGCACGGAGGACAACCACATACGACCCTCTGGCTCAGTCGGCCACATAGGACCACCCTCCGGAACCCTCTGACCAGCAGCCGATGTTCGGTGTCAAAGCCAAGACGCATCTCATTGGATTCCACTCCGACTTGTGGCTTTGCAACGCCTGAGCCTTGGCAGCAATTCTGGTGCGTGGGAGTGCCGCGATGCCGATGCAGCTCACCTGCCTTTCTCAACGCAAAGCCACCAGTGACTTAGAGTCTTAGAGACTCTATAGCTATAAGCAAATCCCTCACCAGACCAAGGGACCTTCCACTTTGGGCTCACCTTTGGGCGACTGGATCAATGAGATGTTGTAGAGCTGCTGGCAGGCAGAGACCAGGAACTTCCCATGCACCTCCACAAGAAAAGAATTGAACAGGTTGTTCCACATGTGTCCAAATGCTTCTGATCTATTGACTGGGTATGTCTTGAAAGATCTTGACCAATTGACTGGGATCCGCCGAGCCCGCTTGAAGTGGTTTTCTTGCTGATGACAAGGGTCGGAAGGACTTCAAAGACCTTGTGGCGGGCTTTCGCATATGGCATATGTGCATGTCTACTTGCTCGGTTTCCACTGCTCCGCTACTACAAACAATTTCACAACGATTGGTGAACAATTGATTTGGGATAATAAATTTGTTGTGATGCTTGTCGCTTTGTTTCAATAAACCAATCTGAATGAAGGACCTCGGAAGGAAACTTTGCAGATCTTTGCAGGCACCTTCCAAAATGCAGTCCTGTTACTTTCGAGGTATGATGACCCAGCCTCTTTCTTCAGAAGGGTGTGGGGCAACGCTTGCAATCTTTCGCAGCGCGCCCTCCTCGCATGAATGAGCGGGGCTGAAAGCACTTGATGCCGATGTCAACCACACATGTACCATGCCCGAAAGGCTTGCAAAAAGCATTGGCAATGATAATTTGAGCCCCTCCGGTTCATCCAATATGGCACGCAACTATACCTACACCATCCTACACCGTATACACCACAAAACGATAGTGACCCCACCTAGCAGCACACCATGCGGAGATGCCCCCAACATTATGGGCAAAGATTGAACCCGGCCTCCAAACATCTCTACAAACACATGTCTTTGACAAAAGAATGAAGTGTGCTCCAACATGGTTGCTCTTGTTTTGAGACCAACTGATGGTCATCAGACTGATGGTCCTCAAAGGCTCGTGCTGCTGCACATCGTGTTGGATCCACGCATCGTCGTCGAAGGGCGCGTGTTCTGGCTGAGGAAACGCCTGGAGATGCGTCGACGGCGCTCTCACATGCAACTTCCCCGGGGGCCGAGGGGCTCCCAACAACATGTCCTGGAGCAGGTCAGGATCCGACCCCAGGGTGGGGTCCCACTTTAGGAGGGCATTGTTTCCACCAAACATCGGGTCTACTTTGCCTACTTTGTCTAGTCTATAGGTGGTAACTGTACATGCATGATGGTCATCCAAGTGGCATGGAAAGGCCTGGCAACGGCCCTTTCTGGATCCACCAAACCTTTCCAATCCCTAGGCCATCGACCTCTACCCATGTTCCAGCGAGCCTTGGTGCTTTGGGCTGGAGGTTCATGCGCCCGCGCTCGCAACATGGCGCGTAGTCGACGTGCCTCCTGAAACAGAACCACCAAAATCACAGCAGACCGCAAATGGGAGGCCTGCTGTAAAAAAACCGATCAGAGGGGCTTGCAAAAATGACTCTCACTTTTTTTT